CATATAACATACAATTAATCAGTTATAATTTCTTCAATTTAATTATATTAACTTTTTGCAATTAGTTCAAAAAATACAATAAACACTCAGAAGTCACAAGTCACACAGGTCACAATATCGTGTGTTTCACGAGTTTGAGAAGGAAAAACAAACGTACACCCAATCCTACATGTCAATCTCATCACCCCCGATATAAATTTTCATACGTTGGATTTCTGGACAAATTTGGGGGAATATCTAATGAAGTTAATGAAGGTTTTATTTTTCTTCGAGCTTGTTTGTATTCTTAGGTTTATACTTTATAACTTGTCCACATTTTTTTTACAATGATACGAACAGAATTTGAATCTAAAATTTGGTGTGAAATATTTCAACACTCTACCATGAAGTTAATACTAATTGGTTAATTATAACTTTATAAAATAACACTAATATGCATGATTATTAAATGTGTATTTTTTTAATTTATAATTTTCAAAATTATTTTCTAACAAATATGTATATTAATAAATATGTAAAAGTATACATAAAATAATTATGTTTATCTATATAAGTAAATTCTTTTATATACATTTGTATATGTTTTTATTATTTTATTTGTAAATTTATTTTAATGATAAAAATTTACATTTGTGTTTAACTTGTGATCTCTTGGTGGGTGAGATTTGAGCATAAAAGAATTTAAAATGACTTAACAAATTTAATTAAGAATATTATGCAAATATATATATATATATATATATATATATATATATAGAGAGGGTCAAAAATTAAACACTAATCAATTTAAAATGGTCAAAATACAGTTGAATCATTTCAAAATTTAATAGTGTGTTTTTTTTTATAAAAAAAAGTGATTAATCATCCAAATGAATTTAAAAAGAACGTCAAAACTAAGAGGAAAAAAAACATTGCATAGTTGATTTGCATAATCTTTTCATAAAATGCATATTAGATCTTCTTTTTCTCTATAAACAAATGGTCCTAAAATTTTTCATCTAAAACTTCACTCGACAAATTTGTTGATCAAATTATTAATATTTACTTTATTAAATTTTATAATATTTAATATTTTAATATATATATATATAATAAATATTTCACACACTTTACCGAATTGCATATAGAAGAGAGAGTTTTCTTAACAACAATACTTATCAGAAGATGAATTGAAATAAATAAGATTAAAAGAAACTCTTTGAAAATTTTCTTATTCCATAACAACATAATACTTCTACTAATTACTTTAATTATATATTCTTTAAAAAATTAATTTCCTTATTATATATATTGATCATATTACTTTAATTAATTTAAATAAAATAATAATTTAATCATATTTATTTTAATTAATATAATCGTGTATTTTAATAATAACAATAAAAAAACTAGTTGCATTTTGAAAATGAATGTAACATCGTAAATGTTATATAATATCTGCACAAAAATTGGTAATTAGTTTTACAAAATGACTGTTATTTTAACTAGAAGGGTAAAGGCACTTCGTGTCTTTAATAATTATACATAGATAAATATTAAAAATTATAAAATATATATAAAAAAAATTTATATTCAAGGTATAAAGATTCACTAAAAAGTTGAGACCAAAAAAGTAATTACTAAAATGTATCCCCTTTATAATAAGTATAGATTATATAATGGTATAATATTAAAGTAAAACTTTTTAAATTATAAATAACAAAAAAAATCAAATAATAATCCTATAATGTTGAAGAGCAATTTAAAGTTTTCTTAATGTATAAGTAAAAAAGTAATAACTTTTTTGTTAAATAAAACTTATTTACTACAAAATAATTAGAAGAAGAAAAAACAAAATATGTGCCAAACATAAGAAGTCGCGACACAAGTTGATATTTCTCAAGGAAAACGTGATTTTAGACGTATCTAAAGTTTTCAGCAGGGCCACTATAGCTTTCAATGGTGGTCCCATATGTACCACCCACATGAACCATTGCTATTTGCTAGAGAAATTACATTCCTGAATATTATTTTTATTCAACATAAGAATAATTGTTCTCGAAAGTTTGAAAGATGTTAATTAAGTATCCCTTTGCAATAAATTTCTATATTTATAAAAGTTAAGATTTAATTTTTATTACTTAATCGAATCTATCACTCCAAATCAAATTAATATTTTATATTAATATTATATATATATATATATATATATATATATATATATCATATGACATATTGATATTAAAATCATTTAAACTATGATTTTAAAATTATTAATATATTCTTTTTAAATATGTTTTTTAATAAATTAAATTGGGATATTAAATCATAAACATTTAAGTTGTGGATTTAAGATTTTTTTTTATAAATTTAAGATATTTTTCAAGTAAGAGTCAAAAGTATTTTTTTTAATAAATCAAATAATTTATTTAATATATATCCTGAATTTTTTCCATATAAATATTTGTAATAAATAGCGAACGTGGATAAAAAATTTATTAATTTAATTTAGAATAGTAAGTAACAAGAAATATTTAATTACATAAATAATTTTTATAAAGCATATAAAATTAAAATTTAAGTGAAATGTCATTTTCTAATTACAATAGCCTTTTGATTACCAATATTTTTTCACCTTATTATCAAAATAATCATCATGAAAATAAATTAATTTGAAATTACGAAAAACAAGTTAATTATACAAAATCATTTTTTTATATAAAAAAAATATATAGAAGGAAAAAAAAAAGTGACCCACTAAAATTGACGAAGATTTGAGTAATTTACATAAATAAATAAAAATCAAATTTCACGATTGTCAATATACAGGCAGAAGAAAAATAAAAAGTGAAATGTCATATCATACTTGCTGCAATCTATTTGTTATGAATTCTTTCAACCTTTTACAAAACTCAACATAATATATCAACAAGCCATTAGTATTTTTTATTTTTATTTTTGAAAAAAGAAGCCATTAGTATGAATATACGTAAGTCAACTTAATCCTCGTAAATAGTTCTCAATTTTGAGTTTTGTTAGTAAAAATAATGTGATTAGGAATTTTTTTTTACTAAAAGTATTCAATTAAATTTTTAAATAAAATTAATTATCTACAAAATCGATAATATTTCATATTAATAATAAGATTAAAAAAAATAAGATAAACATCATATAAAAATATATTTGTTAATAAAATATAATTTAATATTTATGAGTATATATAATTGTGATATATTTATTTGTGAATATTATAAGATATTAAATAATTATATTTAAATCATGATCTTAATGAGTGAAGTTGGATTCAAATCTTGTATTTTTTTTTTGTTTAAAAATAGGAAAATTTACAAAAATGATCACAACGAGGATTGAACTTAGATTTTCATGCTTCTAACTATCATAACCCCTCCCTACCTAACTACTAGGCTAACCCTAGTAGTCGATTCAAATTTTGTATGCAAGGTTTTAATTTTAATTATATTTATTTAAAATAAATGGTTAAATATATGAATAAATTTTGTAACATAATTTTGAATTATTTTTTTATTGATTGAAGACATAAAATTTGTTTTTATTAAATTCACTTACATAAGAATTATTAAATTCAATAGATGTTCAAAAAAAAAAATCATAAACATTATAAAAATCGCATGAAAAATAAATCTCACAAGTAAAAAAAAATAATGATAATTGTTCTTGTATCAGGGAAGCGACTTTTTGACAAAAGTAAATTTAAAAAAAATACAGAAAATAATTAAAAAAAATAATAAATTATTAATATAAGTTATTTTGGCCACGTGACAGTAGAATAAAAGGCGTAGAAAAAATTTGTAAAAATGACACAGGTAATAGGTACATCATCACATGCACCTTGGTTAATGAAGATGGCACACGGAATAGGTGTTCTTTGAGGGTGACATGCTCCACTTTCTTTGCAATATTAAGGACATTGGTTATTGAATCGTTATCCACCAAAATTGGATTGCATATATCTTTGATTTTGGAAACTGCCACAACCATTATCCACGTAGGGTCCTTAATGCCCCACGCCTATCTAAGGTTTAATTTGTCGACTTGGGAGACCAAAGTCAGAAAATTGGCAAAGCTACTTGGGCAGGTGACCAACCAAGTAATGGCTTAGAATTGATTTGTGTTCCCATAAAGGAGTAGAGCGTATCACTAAAACATTCAAAGGGATTTCCTCAAATCAAGAGAGTTAACAACCACTTTGGGCGTGGAACCTCACCTTTTAAACTATTTATGTTCTCTTAACTTGGGTGGCCTCCAACATCATGCTCCGTTTTGACAGTTTTAGGCCTGAGCGTCAACTATAAAGGTCAACCTAGAGTGATTAAGGGGTACACTAATAAATTTTTAATTTTTTTAATTACTCGATGAACTCATTTGCTTGTAATTTTTATTATATTTATGATTTTTTAAATTTGAATACTAGTTGAGTTTAATAGTTTTCATATAAATAAATTTAATGATACAAGTTTAATATCTTGAATAAGTAAAAAAAAAATAGTTGAACGATGAATAATAATTTTTTATATTTTTATATTATTGAGGTATATAATGTCATTTTAAAAAATTATTTAGTTACTTTTATATTTTATTTTATTTCTAGTTAAAATTGAATTTGTAATTTTTCAATTTTTAAAATAAAACAATATCTTATAAGTATTTAAATAATAATACATCTAAAATTATACAAATATTTATTATCAGATATATCCAAATATAACAATTTATTAAATTTTAAACACTTATAACACAAATTCTTATTATATAAGAATTTATTAAATGAATAATTAAATAAATATTTGCCTAATTTGTTTAAGATTCTTTTTTAAAAGAATTTCCATGGTAATGTTAAGAATTGCCTGATAGTAGTACTACTTATATATAATGTAAGCATTGATAGTGATAGTTTATCATTATTTGAAGTAAAATGCTTTTAATACATTCGTAAAACTGGGATACACTATCAGCAAGGCAACAGTCAAACAAACTCCTCGTTGAGTTGACTAGCAACAACCACGACTCTCATTTCCGAAAACTCAATTATATATATATTTTTTACAATATCACGCAATTCATACATGTATCTCTAACCGTTTCATCAACTTCTCCCTTCTGCTCCTGCCAAATCCAATGTCTGCAATTCCTATCAGCTCCGCCTATGCTTCCACCTTCTCTTATTCCGCGCGCGCGCTTTGCTTCTTCTCTGCTCGCAACAACATCAACAGGATCACTCTTCACCGACCTGTGTTTTGTCAATTTGAATCCAAGGTAATTATCGCTTCTTCCTTCACTACCGGAAAGTTCTACAAATACGCTTCACATGCTAACTTCGTTGATTCGTGCTTCGTTCTTTCTCTTTATTTTTTTATTTTTTGTTTTAATTTTAACATCAGAGCAAATTTTTAGGGGAAAATGTCTGAGGTTCAAAGTTAATGAAATTTTGCATATAGATGTATCAAGTCTGGAGGTTTTAAATTTTGGTGCGAAAGTTTTATTTTCCTGATACTTTTTCATTTTGAACAATCGCTTTCGCTTGCTTATTGTTTAACTGTGTTATGATTAGTTAATATTAATATCATTCTTGTCTCTTATAGAACTATGTTCACTATGCCTGTATTGTTTGTTTATTTTACTTCTTCCGAGTTCCAACCACAATTTTTTTCATGTAGACAGAGGAAGCGCTGACAAGAAGGTGCTCCCCCTTTCTAGAGAGTTCATTACTCTCTGGTAGCGGTGCTGTGGCCTCCGACGAGTGGAAAGCTGTTCCTGATATTTGGAGATCTTCTGCGGAGAAGTATGGTGATAAAGTAGCATTAGTAGATCCGTATCATGATCCTCCTTCGATTATGACATATAAACAGGTTTTTTTTTTCTTCCTTTTTCATGTTCTATCTCTTTTTTTGCGCCAAATGGTCTAGATATGTGAGAAGACCAATAAAAGCGCTAGTTAGAAGCGTTGATCATATTTAGTGGAAAACCAAGGAAAACTGGAAGTGAAACCATTAAAAAGGATTCAGATCTGAATGGTTTATCTGAAGAACTAGTTTTTTACAGAACACAATGATGTGGTTTGGTGATTTGATTTGATCCATGTAACCAAGTACCAACCTGCCTACTGGGAAGATGCTTTGATTGTTGTTAGAATTGTATATCTCTTACTTTCCGATTAGTTTTATTAATCATTGTATCCTCTCATTGGAACTGTTTTTAGAAGCTCCGAAAGCTTCCTACTTCTTAGTAGTGGTCAATATGTTCTGATATGTAAACCCCATTAATTCATGTTAGAAAAGTTTTTTTTTTTTTTTGTCTGGGTCGAGGGTATGGTAAATAGCTATATCACTGTTGGAATTGTGTATGATTAGGGTATGGGTGAATGTGGGTTTTGTTTCAAAGTAGACGACATTATGAAGGAAGTTCTTTACACAAAAAAAAGGAAGCGCTAGTATTCAGTATGTTTTCTACTATCTTTTGTATTTTATTAGGCAATAACCATTTTCTACGTTTAAGGTTTGAAAATCATTGAGTTTCATCAATGACCTTTGTTGGGTTTTATTTCTTACTTTTAAGAACTATGGGTGAGTTCTATGACATCTACCTGAATATATACCCAGAATGGTCATTGATATGTGACTCGGGATTTTTTATGATCTTGATGTATAAAATGAATTTTGTTTATTCCAATGTTGATTTACGTGAGAAACTTATCCAAAAGACATAGTGGCATGCTATGCTGATTCTCTGAGTCTTTCTAATCAAAATTTCAGTTGGAGGATGCAATATTGGACTTTGCTGAAGGGTTGAGAGTTATTGGAGTAAGACCCAATGAGAAACTTGCACTTTTTGCTGATAATTCATGTCGCTGGCTTGTAGCAGATCAAGGTGTTTAGAATTACTTGTATTATTTATTGCTTTGTTACCTAAATGACCAGATTTTATTATTTTTTATCTGCTCTCACTGTATTGTGTTTAGAAAAATGCTAGCTGCACAACTTTATGACCACAAGCTTATCAAAACAAAAAACAATTAAAGTATACATTTTAAACTTTTTTAAAACACAATAATAACTTGAGATAAATATTAGAAGGTATCAATATATTGTAAACCAAAAAATATTTAGTTATGTTTTGTAAAAAGTACCACTGCCGCCCATGTTTAAAAATTACTTGTTTTAGGAAAGTTACTTTTGTTTGTGATATTGTTGTTTAAGTTTATAAAAATGGTGAATGGGAAGTGGCTATGTTGCTTCTGATGTAGTTAGCTTGCTTATGGAGCCTAATCTTTTTTGCTTTCATACTTTATTCCTTTGAAGAAAATGCTATGCGAAATACTTTTGTAGCAAAATATCTTGAGTTCACTGAATGAAAATGAATTTTATTTTTCACATCCGGAGCTGTGCTAAGCTCAGTAGCTGATTTACAATATTCACATGCTTGTGAGTTGTGTAGAATCAATATACTTACATACTGTTTTTTTTTAGTTTAGGTATGATGGCATGTGGGGCAATCAATGTGGTAAGGGGTTCGAGGTCATCAATTGAAGAATTGCTGCAAATATACAACCACTCTGAGAGGTTTAATAAATACTTTCATTCTTATATATTTGGTCACATCATAACTCCTATCTCTATCTTAATTTGAAATATGAATTTTCAGTTTGATTATTACTTCTGTTGATATATGTAAAGTGGACCAATTTTAGACAATTATGAGACTTTTGTCTCTCCCTCCACCCTCTCCTGAAGCTATTATCACTGTTAACAGTGCCTATGATGATCATATTTCATACCTGAGTATTTGTCTTTTTTAAAATTGATGCATACTTAATCTTCCCACCAGTAGACCGAGCATATAATTTACACTGTGCACGGAGTATCTTAATGTAAAATTTGTATTTGTAGTCCACCAGGCCACTCTGTTCCTTTTAAACTCAACATCATGTTGTATGCAAATTGATTTAGATTTTTTTAATGCAAATGCACACATGTATATCTCATGTATGTATGTGTGACTTTTGCTTTTAAAATGTTCTGCAAGAAATGTTACTAAAACTGATATGAAAAAATAATATCAGGAGATAATGTAAATCGGTTTAGATAATAAAAAGTCTAGTCAACGAATGCTAGGGTTTTAGTTCTTCCTTTATCAGAGTGGTAGAGTTTAGAAAGGAAAGACCCGTCATCTGTGGGTTAAAAGATATAATCAATAATTGAATTGCATGTAAAACAGTAACAATAATAGTATCTTACTGTTTTAGTGATTTTAAGTTTGTTGAATACAACAAGAATGCTTATACGTACATGTTTTTTGGTTATGATGTTGAATTTTCATCTTTTTTTTTTAATTTCAATCTCTTGTTGATTCAATAGAACACTGCTAACTTCTGCTATTGTTTTTCAGTGTTGCACTAGCTGTGGACAATCCTGAAATGTTTAATCGGATTGCAAAAGTGTTGTATTTGAAGGCTTCTATAAGATTTATTATACTGCTATGGGGAGAAAAATCAAGCCTGGTCAGTAAAGGAGACAAGGGGGTGCCTGTCTTTACTTTCACAGAAGTCATACATTTGGGACAAGAGAGTCGTAGAGTATTGTTTAATTCTCTTGATAATAGTATGTCACCTTGGTTTTTCATTACAAATTTGGATTAAATATTTTTATTATTCAACTATGTAATCTTTTGTCATTGAGTATCAGAATGTATATGCATACACACGCAAAGAAAACATTTAAGTGAAAAAGATAGAGAAGCACTGCTAGTGGCTGGATAAGAATCCTCCATATCAGAAATGACTAAATATAATAAAAAATCGAAATCAAAAAGAAAAATTGGGTGTGGGGTGGACAGGGAACTAAATAATACAGCAAGGTTTCTAATCTGTTTGCACAATATCGGCGATAGCAATGGCCACACAAAGCCAGAAACATAACTTCCCAATAGGGTTATGTTAATATTATTCTTATTTTATTACAGAAATAATTTATTTATTTTACAAAGGAAACAACATATAGATCATTCTACTTATCATCAACAGGAGCAGTAATCTGGCTCTCTACAACTTGTCTGTGATTGCAGGGAAGCACTATATGTATGAAGCAATCAAATCTGATGACATTGCTACTCTTGTATACACAAGTGGAACTACTGGAAATCCAAAGGGTGTTATGCTAACCCATCAGAATCTTTTGCATCAGGTTTGATTACAAATCTTTTATAAAATTTATTGTGGCAATGGTTTGATGTTGAAGTTATGAATTAATAAAGCAGTGATTTTAAAATCAATTGTTATTAGTTGTGGATTATTCCATTTCTAGGAGGATTGATTGGAGCTTGATTGAATATTTTTGTAATATTCCTCTGTATACTGTATGAATTGATGTGAACTCTGTGGGTAATTCACAGCCATTGTATATTGTCTCCAATCTCTCTCTCATAGCTTCATTACTTAATTCACATATTTCCTTTTTTATGTATATTGAAATTTTATTCAAGGAAAAGATAAGAATGCAATTAGGATAGCATAAAAGATCCTCCTAAATCTGCTTTTGGACTTTTGGGGGGCGTGGGTGGAGGAATGAGACCTAAAGTGACTAAAAAATGCAACAAAAGCTTTCCTGCTCTCCCATGCCAGAAGTGGAAATTCACTTCAAATAACCATTGACAGATCATCAAAGAGGATCCATTGACCCATTATTGTTATAATTTATGTACAGGCAAAGGTAGAATGCATATTGGAAATGTGGGCCTTCTGCTCCCTATCACCTTCTATTTGAATCTGTCTAGTTTTTTTCTTTAGTTTGGTTTGTGAAGCTTTCTAGATTTTAAATTAGTTTCAGTTGAAGTTAATTCTTGGCTTTTAACATATCATTGATGTTGTATATCCTGTGTTAATGAATTTCTAGATAAAAAACTTGGGGGATATTGTACCTGCTGAAGTTGGGGATAGATTTCTAAGCATGCTGCCTTCCTGGCATGCATATGAAAGAGCTTGTGAGTATTTCATTTTCTCGTGCGGTGTTGAACAAGTATACACAACTGTGAGAAACTTGAAGGTATTATTGCTTTCATATATGTTTCGAAAAGACAACACATTGCCTCGTATACTAATATCCTGTATTTTCTTTCATTTATAGGATGATTTGGGTCTTTACCAACCACATTACTTGATTTCTGTTCCTTTAGTCTATGAAACGTTATACAAGTAAATCCTTGTCCAGGACTTATACGAAGCTATTCCATTGTGTTTAATGTCAATTGTGAATTGTATTAATTATTCTTGATTCCTGTAGTGGGATTCAGAAGCAGATATCTACAAGCTCCTTTGTTAGAAAGCTTGTTGCACTCACATTCATAAGGGTCAGCATAAGGTACATGGAGTGTAAGCGGATTTATGAGGTATGGTCTTCTGCTCTGTCTGTAGGTCTGAAGTGTTAGCAACATTCCCAAAATCATTTTTGCCATAAAATCTGTTTTCTATGCTTTAGTAAAAGCTTATTTTGTCTATATTTTTTACTCCCTCTATCACACAATGACCGCAGTTTTAGTATTTGAAAAATGTTTCAAAATGAATGATATTTTCACTTTTCAATGAAATATTAATCAACTTTTTCCTAATTTACCCTCTCATAAAATATTCAACCTCTACAATTAAAAATAATGCATTCATTGATAGAGTGGTAATTTTAATAAAATTGTATAAAAAATAATACATTTATTGATATCTTTGATCTTTGTGTAGAAACTTTAAATTGCATTTCTTGTGGGACGAAGGGAGTATTAAAAAATAATAGAGAAAAATAAAGGTGTAAAATGAGCTAACCCAAATAATGAGAAAGATTATGAATTAGGTGGCATTTTGTTTATCGGAAGTGATTTGTACTACCATTGTGTCACAACAAATTGGATCTATCTGGTAAAGATGGGTCATACCCCCAAAGGAATAGGCCTAATCCGTCAATTGCCCAATTCTATCTTACTATAACATTCAAATTTAGAGGAAACCCTGAATTCGTCCTTGAGAAATTTAGGGTGGGTTACCTTAGTACCCAATAATACAAAAACCCCTTATTGGTCCTTAAAATGGACCCATATGACCCACATTTTTTATTTTTAGGGACTAGAATGGGATTTTTACATTCTTAAGGACTGATATGTGCCATAAGATTTCTCAAGGAAAAATTTAAGGGTTTAACTGTCCAGATTTAGTTCTGATCACAGTCACACCTCATCCCAGGTTTATTTAACAATTATTCCTTCAATAGCACTTTTGAAATTAGATTAAAAAAAGTAAATGGACTTAGTTCCATTTCTGCCCAAACATATTGCTTTTAATAAACATCAAATATGTTTGCAGGGTAAATGTCTAACAAAGAATCAGAAGCCGCCTTCCTATCTCCATTCAATCTTGGACTGGTTATGGGCAAGAGTCATGGCCACAATATTATTTCCTGTTCATTTGCTGGCGAAGAAACTGGTCTACAGTAAAATTCATTCAGCTATTGGGATGTCAAAGGTCTTGTATTCTTAAATATGCTTTATTATAAAATTATAAAATATTGTGTTTATTTTATTCTGTCTATTTTTGTGGAGTGCCATGCTGACTGTTTGTCTTAGGCTGCTAACAGCAATAGTTGCAAGATTTGTGTGTGAAAGATGGATGTAGCTATGGTATGGTCCCTTTGGTTAGACAAAATACAAAGAATTTCTAGGGAGGTGCTTATAAATGCAAGCATGGATTCCTTTTGAAAGTATGTAATTGGGTGTTAACTCTAGCTTTGCCAAAGAACAATAAACCCTCTTGTAGAGGTCAGGGTCTAATTGTCGTTTGGTTTAGTTTCCTCTTCTTGATCATAGTTATAATATTCTTTCCTTTCACTTTTTTGCCAGATCTTGTTCTTACCTCCTGTTCCTGTATATTTGGGATTTCCCCACAGTATCCCCCATGCTATATTATAAATTATTCGTCTAAACTACATACCATATTGTGTCATTTACTCATGATTTTGGAAATGGATAACTTTTCTGCTCATGATAGCTAAAATCCCTTCTGGCACCCTGCAGGCAGGAATAAGTGGTGGTGGTAGCTTATCTTCTCATGTTGATAAATTTTTTGAGGTCTGATACTTCACACATGTAACTCTTAGGCAGGATTTTTCTTTTTGAAATTTTTCTCACATTTTCTTTTAAAAATAATATGCAGGCTATTGGTGTGAATGTACAGAATGGATATGGTTTAACAGAAACTTCACCAGTTATTGCTGCTCGACAGCTTAGTTGTAATGTAAGCAGTAGATTATCAACTGCATTAATATTATGCTGAACCAAGTATTGTCATTTTAAAACATATGGTTTTTCCCTTCTGTTACCAAAACTTGTTTCTCTACCTATAATAATTTGTTAAACATGTCATTTTATAACTAAATTATTTGAACTTTCACTGTTTCTTTCACTCTACCTTAGTATATAACCATATATCTGTTCTCTCTGTCTATCACTATGTGTCTCTGACTCCTCTTCTTGAAAAGTAAAATTGTAAATTGAGAATAACAATTATTTGGGAATAAAACAAAGGACTAAATGAGAGTTCTACTAAATGAGGTGTAGAGATCTTTACTTAATCTGTGTTTCTTTTGTTTATAATTATTTTTAATGTCTCTCTCTCTCTCTCTCTCTCTCTATATATATATATATATATATATATATATATTTTGCAGAAGATACTCGTTCTACTTAATATGTTAATAACAAGTACACTTAAAGCTTTTGGCTTTTGTCAAAAGTTTCTAGATCAATAGTCAGATATTCATAATAATTACATAATTTTATTTTGTTTTTTAATCTGAGTCTGCAAAGAGCAGTACTTATATCTGAATATGTTATTGATGCAATCTTTTGAAGGTTATTGGGTCTGTTGGGCATCCAATTAAGCATACAGAATTCAAAGTCATTGATTCTGAGACTGACGAAGTTCTTCCACCTGGTTCAAAGGGTATTTTGAAAGTCAGGGGCCCACAATTGATGAAGGGATACTACAAGGTGATCCACTTTGTGAAAATTCAAACATGTGTCGTTTTTTGACGTGTTTACATGTATGAGAGGGGGACGATGTTGATGAAAATGTCATAAAAATTTGTTGGACATGTATGGAAGATATAAAAATATGCATATCATTATTATATTTTGGCTTTCTAGTTACTACCTCTTTTAATACTGGAGTTGAAGGCTTGTAGTTTTATTAGTTTATAAATATTTAATTGCTTTCCAAACTTAAAGATCAACCAAGCAAGGACTTATAAAAGGGTCACTAAGTATTCTTTAGATGAAGAATTCTGTTTTGTCATAAAATACATTTCCCATTATAAACCAGGTCGTAACAGTCAAGAAGTCCTGTTGAAATATGCTGGATCAAATTGTGTCAGTTACATGTCTTATTCTTGTATCAGAATCCTTCAGCTACAAACCATGTCTTGGATAGGGATGGCTGGCTGAATACTGGGGATATTGGTTGGATTGTTCCTCACCATTCAACTGGGCGGAGTCGTAATTCCAGTGGAGTAATTGTTGTGGAAGGCCGTGCTAAAGACACTATTGTGCTTTCTACAGGTAGAACAGAAGTTCGTTTATGTTGATCTTTGGATCCTATAAATAAATGTTTCCTCCCTTCCCGTGCCATGTGTTCTTTCTTTCTATTCTTTTTTGTGATTCTATTGATTGTTGGATTTGAATAATGGACACTGTTACTCTGCGAGTAAAGGTAAAGTTTGCATTAGTAACCGAAAAGATTCAAGATGCACTTTTCCGTCCATTTGTGGTTTTTTTTTTTTTCCTTTTCTTTTGTTAGTTTTTAAAATAATATTCATTCTTCGCACAATATTCATGTCTGATTGTGTGTTAATTACTGAGGCGTTTATACGATTAAACAAAATGGTTTATGATGTGAAGAGAAAATTGAAGAGTAACCACCAATGAGTTTTCAAAACTTACAACCAGCAAGTATTTTTCATTAGCTTTTCAGTCTTATGTAAGTACTAATTACATGTTTCAATAAGAGAAGGTGAAAATGTTGAACCGGGAGAACTTGAAGAAGCTGCCATGAGGAGTAGCCTCATACATCAAATTGTTGTTATTGGCCAGGTGAATTTAAATTTTGATGTCTTTAAACTTTTATGGTTCAAGACCTTCATAGAACTATAAACTCGGTTTTACAAAATACAATGATTTTTTACTTCTTTGGTGACTGCTGTAACAAATAGGATAAGCGACGTCTAGGAGCTGTAATTGTTCCTAACAAAGAAGAAGTCTTAAAGGCAGCAAGGGAATCGTCAATTATAGATTCCAACAGTTCAGATGTCAGTCAGGAAAAAGTGACCAGCCTAATATATAAAGAATTGAGGACATGGTAAGATTGTGTCTCACTTCTTGTTGTAATGAATGCCAGAGAATTTTTATGCCTTCATATATATTGCAATGACACGTGTTTTTCTGTTTCCAAAGTTGAGATTTTTTTTACTATGAAATGGTTAATTAACTTCGGTTGAGATTTATGAAGTCTTTAGTTAAACCTTACTTACTTCCTTGTCGAATCAGATTAGTTTAGCCCAAAATCTTAGAGTACAGATGCAAAACCAAAAAGAAAGTTTGAGATTTATGAGAATAGATGAGAATAAATTAATTTGTTTAACCGCTAGTTAAGTTGTTTTTAAGTGGCATTAAATATATGGTTAGAAAACTGATAAAATATTTTGTATCTTACGATAGAATCTCTTCCTTGGTACTAATCAAATATTTTGGTCCCCTCCCTCCCCCTCCCCCTCCCCAACCGCCCCCGCCCCCAATGCAGGACGTCAGAGTCTCCATTTCAAATTGGGCCAATCCTTCTCGTAAATGATCCCTTCACGGTTAGACTAAACTTTAGTTTGTATATTTATATTATCTACATAACTGAATTAACATATCTGATTAATCTTAACTATAATGACAGATTGATAATGGGCTAATGACACCCACGATGAAAATTCGAAGGGAAAAAGTTGTGTCTCAATACGGGGACCAAATAGAGAATCTGTACAAGTAAACTTGCAGTATGTTTGGATGGGAATTAGGAAAAAAATTGACGCGCTTAATCAAAGCATAAATAATGCTTTCACATGTTTTTATAGATTTGACTTGGAAAAGTAGAGAAACACCCGTTCAAAAGCTGTAGCTAGATACTTACCGCCTAATGCCAATGTTATGTTTCTTTATTGTATATTGAAAGTAGGAAAATCCTTGATCCTTTTCCATCTGCTGACAATTTTTTCGTTTCTTACAGAATGTAAAATACTGTATCTTCCATTAAATGTTAATATGTCCAATTCTTTTGTTATTATATATTCTCACAGAATGGAAAATGCTCTTCACTTGCATTTGAAGTTAACGTGTAAAGTTTTAATTGATGGGCGTCAACTGAAATAGTTTTATGCCTTTCAAAACTACCAGACTCAATTTGCTCAATGTACATAACTTCATTATGTACCATACTCTGTAGTATCTGTGCATATGAAAGGACTAGGGTAAGAACTCAGAATTCAGTTAAGATAAACATTTCACGTATTCAATCAATCTAACTCTTCCCACATCAACAATTTCTCCAAGGTGCCTACTTATTTATTCATTTCCTTCTCTTATGTATAATTGAAGTTACTTATAATTAACTCTGCTTCAATATATGAAAAACAAACACTTAATTCATCATGAAAAATAAAAGACGTGCGCTGCGATGGAACACCTTTGGTCTATGGTGTACCACTTTTTTTTAACCCTTAGATTTATCAAGTTACGCAATAATATGATAGACTGTCATTACCAAATTTTTTCTTTTTCTTGACTGGGAACGTCACCCTTTATTCCACTCCCTCACCACCCGCTATATTCGCACTTTCCACCACATTTAATTCCCTAACACTCCATTAACCATTTCCCTCTTCTTCCTTCATTTTCGCACTTTCCACCACTTCCGTTAACTACCCTCTCTTAATGTATCTGAAATACATTTCAAAATGTTTCTCCTTTTTATCCTTTTCCAAATTGTTTTAGCTTCAAGACTACATATGTGTATACCCTTAAGCGGAGTTCGAATCCCAACGCCCGAAAGGAAGAAAAACGCGGAGATTATCTTCTTCGCCGCTTCAACAGTTCGAGTTTGAAGAAGGAAATGGGTCGTGAAGGTGGTGGCATGGGTGAAGAGGAAGCGTAATGAAAGGGGTACTTGGAGGAGGAGGTGGCGGCAGATGGAGGGGTAGGCTACGGAGGAAGTACCGGAGGCGAAGATAATTCAAGTACTGTAAGTCCACTGTATTATCATGTACATAATATGTTTCTGTAACCGTTAAACAAGTGGTTCACCATAGACTATTTATAAAATAGTCCTCGGTAGCATCCATCCCAATAAAAATAATTTAATTAATTAATTTTAAGTAATAATAGCACAATTTAAAATGTATTTCAAAAGTATCAATAAAATAAAATTAAATGGTTTTAATCATAATACTTATAAATCTAGAAATGTCTTTTTAATCAATGAATATGTCATATTATTAATAGTTCAATTAATGCATCATTTTGATGAAAATAAGTAAATAATTCATTAATAAACTTAATATAAAAAGAAATTAATAATTAATACATTTAAAATAATTATACTTCTTATAATTAGAACTAAAATAATATTTTCATTTGTTTATTATATATTAGACTTTTCTTCATCTTTCATAAATTTGACATAAGAATCATTCTTAAAATTTGAAATTAATCCTTAAATGTCCCTTGCATGCTAATAAAGCCACAAATATCCATCTTTCACATTAATTTTTCTGTGCTTTATTTAAAAAATGAAAAATTCTTACGTATAACAGAAATTATTGGAGATTTAATTTGCATGTGAGATGAGATATTCTCTTCAAATATATTATGTAATAGTATTTGTAGAGAAAAAATAGATACTAGAAGAGGAGGTGGAATAGTGTATATAAAAATTTGCACGTTTTTTAAATTCGTGAAATAGTATCTATAATAGATGAAAGTTCAACAAGAGTAATCAATAAAATATGATATTTTTATACTAGTTCACCTCAACTATTAAGGTTACGACCAATTCTCAATTTAACCGGATTGAAGTTTACTAACTTTCAACAAAGTTACAAGTATTCTTTTACTAAGCCACTTCTAGTTCAACAATTGTTCTTTGGTTGACCTCTTCAAGTCACTATCTAAGTATTCTTTTATAGACAAATCTCATCAGGCTCAAACTCAAGTATTTTTTTTTCAAATTAGTCTCTTCAGGCTCAAATCCAAATATTCTTTTACAGTCAAGCCTCTCCCGACTCTACCTTATAACAATGGTTATGAAGGTATTATAAGGATGTAGTTGCCATCACTTTTAGACGTGATTATAATGAATTGTTTCAATACAAAAGACTCTTGAAGAAGAATTTCCAAGAGATGGGTACAAATGGTTTTTGTATATTTACACTTTTGTTATTTATGTGTGCTTCTCTATCTTCTTTTGAGTTTTAAAGTCTCTTATAGAGTAGATTTGAAAGAGATGACCGTTGCAATTTCTTAAGACTGATTCACAAAACTGATTCGTCTTACTCCTTCGTCTAATCTTTAGAAAGGAAGTATCCGTTGGTATATTAAATGTTTCAATTAATGTCTTTCACCTAAATGTACTCCTTATCTTTGATAGATCAAGCTACTTATCATAGCAAAGTAGCAAAGTGGGAATAACAAGAAACAAAGTCAGCATGCAAGCGAGAATGCAGTCATTTTTTAGCGTCTTTGTCATGAAATTCGAGATCTTTATCCTTTGTTAAGCTATTCTTCATGCTTTTATACACTTTTAACAAAATGTGAGTTTGAATCTATTAAGATGTAAAGCATTCATTTGAACATTTAAAACCATCAATCATAATAAATAATGATTGCTAGAGAAAGTTTATATGCTTCGTCTGATTAGTTTTATCTTACAAACGGTACTTCATCTTACTCAATCATAAATAATAATTTTTACAATGTGCTTTCTTACTAAAAATTTAGTATTTGTTATTATTAAAACTTTATGAAACCATGAGGGGTTATCTTTTGACTTAATAGTATTTATTTAATCAATTTCCTTAATTTTAATTTAAGGTTAAAATATTTTGTTAAGTCTTTATAATTTCATTTACCTTACCTTTTAGTTCTTATAATTTAAAGTAGATTTTTTTAATCTCTATACTTACCTTTTTCAATTCCTTTTAGTCCTTTTAGTTTAAGATAAATTTTATTTTAATTTCTATACTTGTAATTTTTTAATCATTTTCATTATTTTTTTTTGTAATATTGTTTGTTTTAAGTTGAGGTAACATAGGTATTAATTCAAAAACATTACAATGTTAAAAAAAAAAAATTAATGATAAAAAACTCTTTTGGAATAAGTTAGCAACACTTTCGAAAATTTCTCTACTAAAAAATAAAAGAATATTTTTTGGAAGACAAACTCTAAAAAACACTTTTAAACTTGTATCTAAATAAACTTTAAAATTATTGAAAAAGATAAATATAAAGACTAAAAATAATTTATTTTAAATTATAGTAACTAAAAAGTAAAGTAAGAAATAAAAAAATATTTTAACCTTAATTTAAATAGTAACACAAACCGGGATCATAGAACATGTAATGATGTAAATGCCCAATGTATGGAAAGATCATTGCTGAAGGTGTAAAAAGCATAGGCAACAAGCATCAGAACAGTCATAGCGAAGACCTCAGTTTGACATCAAAATTGTGGAAATTCCAATCACAATATTCAAGTCACCAGAAGTCATTACACGAACAATTCCCATCCTTAAAGTGGTGATATCTTTTGGCATCTCGGACATAAATTTCCCTATTTGTTATAGTGCTGATGAGTTTCAGAACAGTATGACAATCTCCACAAACACGAAGATTTTTCACTATACGTATAATAGTCCCTGGAACCGCCTTAAGAAGCCCATAAGCCACAGCCAACCTCTCACTATGCCAGAAAAGTTGTCTTTCCTTCTCTTGTTGATCCATGTCATGTAAAACCGAGCTAGTATCAGGAGCATAACCCCTTTTCCTCATCTCAGCATCTAACTCCCTCATTAAACCTATAATCTCATCCTTCATTGGGTGGGAAGTCTCTCCAGCATAAAACACATGGCCTTCCTTCCCCAAGTCAATGCAGCTATACCCTGGTTCCTTTTTAACTTCCATGACCGCCATCAACTTTCTCACTTTCGAAACATTCTCCCACATACCAGCTCCAGCATATATGTTAGATAACAATATAAAAGAAGAAGGATCTTCAGGTTTTAAATTCAACAAATGATCAGCGATTCTAACTGCCATCTGCGTGTCACCATGGCGCTTACAAGCACTGAGCAAAGCAGCCCAAGTAGGTTCATCAGGGTTGAATGGCATTGTCCTAATGAGATTCTCAGCCTCATCAAGGTGCCCTGATCGACTAAAAAGATCAAGCAAACAAGTATAGTGCTGCAGAGAGGGCTTAATTCCATAATCTTCAAACATAGACCTGAACAAAGCCCTGCCCTTACTAACAAGGCCAGCGTGACTACAAGCATGCATCAACCCAACAAAGGTCACCTCATTTGGCTTAACCCCAGCCAAAACCATGCCATCATACAAAGTCAATGCCTCCTCAGCCTGCCCATGCTGGGCAGTGCCAACAATTATCGAAGTCCAAGAAACCACATCCTTTCTGCACATTCCACAGAAAATATACTTTGCAGCAACAAGGTCACTACATTTGGCATACATATCAATAAGCGCATTGCTTATGAACAAGCAAGACTCGTACCCAAGGGTTATAACCACACCGTGCATCTGTTTCCCTAGCTCCCAAAGAGCTAAATTAGCACAAGCACCAACCACACTGGAAAGAACCAACGGGTCTGTCACACTAACCCCTTCGTGCCGCATTTCAACAAACAAGTGGAGGGCCTCAACTCCATTCCCACTTTGCACCAACCCAGAAACCAAAGCAGTCCAAGCAAACAAATTCTTGTACGGCGTTTGACGAAACAGCTGAAAAGCCTCACACTTTCGCCCACTCCGTGCATACCCAGATATCATGGCAGTCCAAGAAATCGAATTCAAGGAAGAAATGGAGTCGAAGACGGCACGCCCATAATCGGGCAACCCGAATTTCGAATACATGTCAACCAACGATGACTTGACAACGTCGTCATCGGAGAAGGGTGAGAGGAAGAAGCGAGCATGCACCTGTTTCCCTTGTTTCACGTGAAGGGCACCCAAGTTGGCGCAAGCCTTGACGAGGGAGGAGAAGACGAAGTGGTCGGGAAGGTGGCCGGCGGCGAGAAGGGAGCGTGAGGCGGAGAGGGCGTGGTGGGGGCGGTTGGAGAGGTTGCAGGCGGTGAGGAGGGAGGCCCATGCGACGGGGTCTCGGTGGGGCAATGCGTCGAACAGTTGGAGTGCGTGTTCGATGAGACCGCATTTGCCGTATGCGTCTAAGAGAGTGTTGGGGATGGGTTCGTGGTGGGTGAGACCCGCTTTTATGATGTGTGCGTGAACCTTCTTCGCCAGAGATGGGCTCTGCCGCGCCACGGAGCATAGCTGAGATTGAAGTGCATGGAAAGACATTCACCAACTTCATATTGTTGTTTCACTCCTCGTACTTTTTGACTTATATAATTAATTATTTTATTCATTTTTAATTACTTGTTACTTATAGTTTCATAATTTACATTTTTATTTTTCATATAGTTATAATATTTTATTTTAATTTTAATTTTATAGATACCATTTCTATAGTCCGTTATAATACAGACTAAATGTAAAGTTGGTAAAATTATAAGAATTAAAAATTAAAAAAATTTATATATAAAAATTAAAATGAAATGATTTTAATTATAAAATATAAAAAATAAATTTCATCAAAAGATAATTAAATTTTATTTTTAAAAATTATTATTAACATATAGGCAATTTAGCTTTTATTTCATCATTTTTTACTTATCATATTATATTATATATTTATTATTTGTTTTTTTTTCTTTTTTTTCTTTCTACTATGTGTTTTTTGTAAAGGTGGAGAATGAGAAGCATGTCACCATATTGAAAATCTTTTTTAAGAGATTAAGATATTTAACCTCTAGTTATAAAAAAGGTTGAAGGCTCGAGGGAGACTTTTGTCACTCTCACATCTCTTGTAATAGTCAAGTTAGAATTATCTCTTTTTCCTACTTTTTATACTATAAGGTTAATCAAAACTTAGTTTATTATAACTTGTGAGATCTAACTACTTTTTATTTGTTTTCTAATTTTTGAGCATTCATATTTATGTCATTTTTATCACTAGTTAGTAATTCCATAAAGTCTATCGATCATAATAAATCCTTACAATATTACAATGTAAATTATTTTTCATAAATAAAAATATAATTTATATATTTAAAAATATTTTATTTATAAAAATTTTAAATTAATATAATTTATATAAAATGTACGATACTTCTTTATACATATTATTTGCTATAAATTTTATGAATATATAATAAACATCTAGTTCGTACAATACATAAATTAACATGCTAGATTTTATAATTTTTAGTTTTTCCTAATTTAAATTTTTTTTTTAATTTAATCCGAATGTTATTAGGTTGAGACCGACATTTACAAATTCAACAAACACTATCCAATCATTTTTTTGATCGATGAATTTAAAATCGTCTACAACAAACTCTTGATTTGTGTTTGTCCCTAGCATTTTGTAAATAACATATTTCATAAAGCTCCCCCTTGTAAAATATAATACCTCAAACAAAACTAATATTCCGTTTAGAAAGGCCAGTTGTACCATCTTGTAAATTAAGCATTTCTCTTTGTAAATATCTGGTTGAACACGATAAGGGGGGTGTGCACGATACGATTGTAATCATTTTTTGAATTTATTACAATTAAAAACCGTTTATTTTAAGAAATGAAAACATAAATAAATATATCCTGCATTTCAATGATTCAGTGCGAGTATCGCTGGAGGATTTTGGATAAAATATAATTGAAGTTTCTTTCAAATAAGAATTCTTTAACTTTTTCTTTAGAATAAAAGAAATAAAATGATAATTTGTCACAAATTATTGTGATTATCCCTTAATTTTAAAATCACTTTTACTTATATTGTTTTTTAAGGAAAAAAGTAAATCAGTGAAACGTTTTGTAATAATGTAAGTTGTAGAATGTTATAATTCTTTTTATTATTTTCGTGTTGTTAAATTGGATTGTTGTTCAATATTGAGAGACTCCGAAATCTGAAAATTTCTTAAAAGTTTCAGTGATGTTGAAGGTTTTTTTGTGCAAAGGATTAGTTTGACCCTGAGAAGAAGAGTATATATGATTTTTATTTAGAATAAAATCTCATAACCTTAAATTCTCATAAATAATAGAGTGGGGATTCTAGAGAGGTATTCTGATCCGTGAGTTTTCCTTCAACTCTAAATATTCTTCTCTTTCTTTCTTGATCCTTATTAGTGTTGTATTATTGTTGGATTTAGGTCAGTAGTTGTTGAAATTAGTTGGGTGAATTATAGAGTTTTGAGTTCTTTTTCTCTTCCTTCTCCTCTATCTCTCGGTTTAGAGATTTTTAAGGTAAGGGAAGTTAGATTCTTCCTCTTAATGGAATTACTAAGTTGTTGAATGATGTGTGAGGTGTATGTTCATGACACTTCCAAAACTTGAAGGGTGAGAAGAAAGACTTGTCTCAGGTTAGGATATCATTGGGCATGGTTTGAGTGGTGTCGACCACAATAGCAATGGGAGGTCTCTAACTTGGTGACACTAGGCCCAAGGTTGAGTGGCACCCAACGTGGCTAAGCTAGAACTCTTTGTTTGGTTGACATCGAATGTCAGTATGACAACATCGAGTGTGGGTCAAGCAGAGAGTCTCTACTTGAGATAGGGTTGGGTGTGGCATCTTGTCACGTCAAGTGCAAGGTCCTAGGGGTCTCTACCTTATCCATGTCAGACATGAGTTGTGTAGTACCAAGCATGGACGAGACAAAGAGTTTCTTGTCTCAATGGCATCAGGTGTGGAGTGTATTGCATCGAGCGTTGTTTGTATAATGATAATGTGTTGATTTATTTGATGAGTTGTTGAGTACTTGATAATTGAGTTGTTTGATGGCTAAGGACCATAATATAGGGGTCAGGTTGAGTTATACTGATTACAAGTAACCAATTCAATGTACGAAGTTGAAAACTTAATTCCTAACCAAATATCAAAAAGGCATAGTATTTGGAGGGCAATCAGTGGGTTGATCCCATAAGAAGCTTAGTTAAGCTAACTAATATTGTGGTAGACTCATATCTAGTTGTTCTACCATGATAGTAGTATTGGACTTCTTTGTTTAAGTGAGACCATTATTTAAGTGGGGATTTTCTGATAAACCAATATGTTGTATTGTGGATTTATATCCAATTTACGATTGATCTAGCAAACCCAAAAAGATCACCCTGTGTTGTTGATTTGGTATGATAAAACCACTTAAACTACTCACCTTGTGTTGTAGGAGATCTCCTAGTTAAAATGGATGACGACACATATAATTGTTATTTTGTAAACATTGTGTTGTTGTGATGAACAATTTGAGTTGTTAATATTATGATGTTCAATTTGATATTGTGTTGTTTATTTTGATATATGTTGGTCATATGTTGATAATGCATGTTGATAGTGATGGAGATGAGATCAAGATGTGATGATGTATTAAAATTGTTGGTGTTTTTATGTTGCATGTTGTATATATGTTATTTTATTATATATATTTTTAAACTTTAAATTATCTTTGCATGTTTTCATGTAATTTAGACTGTGATGATCATATGTGATACAAGAGCAAGGCAGGGATAGGTATATAGTTATGCACTGGAGGCCATTCAGTGGCTTTAGAGCTAGATGTTCTTTTGATGACAACCATTTAGGGTAGTTCTTGTATAGATAGTATTAGTTGTTTGACCAAAAACTTAGGTTGTATAATTTACATTTACAAGATTATTATACTTTTATTAATATTACACATATTTATGTAGTTATTTTATCTTTATATGTACGCGATATAACACATATTTTTGTATTTATAGATATATAATTTTAAGTTAATATGTTTCGCTATTATTAGATATATCATATACTATATGGATCATGATGGGTCATTACACATTTTATATATCTATAAACTTTTAATAAATTATTTTATTATATTTCTTATTACAAAATATTTTATTGTTAATAAGTAGAAATTACTGTGTTTTTTTTATCACTTTTCTTGTTAACCTAATAATGAAAATTAAATAACTATATAATTTTCATAAAAAATAATATTTTATAATTATTTAAAATTTATAAATTATAAAATTACATTAATAATTTCTTATTACGATTTTTTAGCTTCTAATTTTAACAAATTGTTCAAACAAAATAACACTATATATATTTTTATTATTTTATAGTTTACTTATATTCTAATTTTAATTGTTAATTTTTTTATTATGATGATGAACCATGGGAATTATATTTTACATTTTGATTTACTGTAATTTTACATATAATTTAATTATATGTAAATTATTGATTTGTTATTTTAAGCTAAATAAAATATTTTTTTTATGTTGAATTATGACATGATTATATCATACAAGAAAGAAGAAACTCAATTTTTCGTAAAGGATATTTTTATAAATATTTATATAACTAGTAAAGTAATATTGTAACCAAATGTGATATTCTTTATTTCTCAGAAAATCTATATTAATATTCTTATGAATTTTTATGAAGGTGTTTGGTATGTGAAATCTTTTTACTTTTCTAGAACCTTAAATCAAGAATTTTGATTTCTCATGTTTGGTAGCTATTTAAAAAGAAGATTGATTTTCAGGGAATCTATTTTTTCAAAAATTATTTTTATCCCACTTTCTATAAAAAAACACTCTCATGGTGGAAATTTAACCTTTTCAAATTAGGAGAAAATTTTTATATGTATAAAAAAATCATAGTATCTCTTTTTAAAGCAGAAAACCTAATTAATGTATTTTTTTCATCCATTATCACTTGAATAACAAACACGAAATCACTTTAATTTTATTAGTTAATTCAAATATAAATTAAATTAAATAATTCATTAGACATATTATTTTTTTTTATCACTTTTAATCATATTTTTTTAAGAAATAAAAATTAGTGCAACATTTCATGTATAAACTTTTAATAAATTATTTTATTGTGTTTTTTTATTATAAAATAATTTTATTGTTATTAGGTAAAAATTACTCTTTATTTTTTTTATAACTTTTCTCATTAATATAATAATAAAAATTATACAATTATATACTTTTCATAAGATATGATATTTTATGATTATTTAAAATTTATAAATTACAAAACTGCGTTACTAAGTTTTTATTACCATTTTTAGCTTCTAAATTTAACTAATTATTTAAATAAAATAATATTATATATATATATATATATTATTGTTTTCTAATTTCCTTATATTTTAATTTAAATTATTATTTTTATTGTTGATCTAATTTTTTTCTTATTATGATAAATCATAAAGATTATATTTTAAACTTTGATTTTATGTGATTTTACATATAATTTAACCATATGTAATTGTTGATTTA